AGGAGGGATGGGTCCTTAGAGAGGGACATCATGCTTGGGAGGGTGGAGGGACAGTGCAGGAGGGGAAGCCCCTCTATGAGATGGATTGATTCGGTGACTAGGGTAATTGGGATGGGTGTGTCAGAGGCAATGCGGTTGGTGCAGGATAGAGCAGGGTTTAGGGCTGTTGTGCATAGGGTCACTATGAGTCGAAAACGACGGCACATAACAACAACAGGGTCACTGTGAGTAGCACGTGACTTGATGGCACTTAACAACAGCGTTTTGTAGTTCATAGATATTTTTTATCATGTTTAGTGTAGTAGTAGACCCTGGATAATATCCTGGGACCTATATGAAATGTCACTAGTGTTGCTAGACATGATCCCAAGAAGCAAAGTCATGATAAACAAGAATAAGTTGAATTGCTTAATTGTTCTGTAGATTAAAATCTGTCTTCAGCCACTGTTGCCCACCATTTCAAGATGAATGAATCCAGCATAAAGACTGCTGGAAAAAAGAAAAGGAAATTTGTTGCTGTTACTATTCCAGGAGGCACAGTACATTTTGTGAAATGCCTTTTTGAAGATGGAGCTTTTGGGTGGTACAATCTATAATAAATCTAAGAAAATACATGTTAATCAGCTGTTTTTAATAAGTGTTCAGGTCAAGAATATAGTAGTTAAATTTTGAGGATGTCAAAAGTTATTTCTGTATTTTTTAATTTTGATAATTGCCACCCTTTAACCAACATTTTTTAAGGATCCACTGTATTTAAGATTATTAAAGCAAAGGGATATAAATGAAGAGACACATAGAATTCTGGGCAAGTTTTCAACATGTAGGCTTCCATAACACCCTACAAAAGATATGTTACAGTTGACACCTTTGGTACCAGCAGTCAGGAGTTCAGGAGACATACTGCATTGGGCAAGTCTGCTATGAGAGACCTCTCCATAATAATGAGGAGCAGTGATGTAAATTTGAAGACCAAGGTGCACTTGATTTAAGCCATAGTCTTTTTCCATGCTTACTATTCATGGGAGAGCTGGACAGTGAATTAAGATGCCTCCGAACTGAATATCCCATGGACTGGCAAAAGAATAAACAGATATGTCTTGGAGAAAATGCAGTCAGAGGGTTCCTAGGAGGCAAGGATAGTGATGCTGCATCTCACATACTTTGGGTATGAGGCACATCATACTTGGAAAAGTGGAGTGTCAGTAAGAGAGGAAGACCTTCAATGAGATGGATTGAAAGCAGCAGTGGGTTCCAATGTGTAAGAGTTGGTGAGGATGGTACGAGATAGGACGGGTCAGATCTGTTGTAGATCTGTTGTTCATAGGGTTGCTAAGAGTCTTACTCAACTTGATGGCACCTAACAATAGGAATCTGTGGAGATTCAGTATCTGGGACTTCTTTTGGAAGTCTCAGAGCCTCACATCTCTGAAATCGTTGGTACCATTTGGTTGTCTTTCTGGTTATAGTCCATCTCTACAGGAATCATAAGCATTTAGGTATGGTCTGGAGTCTTCAAAGACATCTCAGTCATTGGAGAAATTGTCAGGCTTTAGAAGTTATTCCTCAGAAGCCATAGACAAAATTATTTAAACAAAGTTAAACTACAATGTATGGAAATACAAATAAAATAGTAATTTTATTCCAGATATGACACTTTCCCTCCCTTTGGTGTGAAAGCTCATTTTGTTTGTCTAGATTTCTTCTGATTTAATGTCTTGGCTTGTGTTTATAAGCCATCTTTGAATTGCATATTCATGTTATTTGCTCACTTTTTATTTAATTGTGTGTAGGTTTTTCTTTTGTTTTTTTAAGGACAACAGGTTGTTTATGGTTATAGGTGCGTCTTAATAGGTTGTGTTGCCTTTTTTTTTGCTCCTTAAAAGGTTTATTGCATATACCCTTAGTACAACAGAACAAAGCACTGTTCCGCCCTCACAATTACTGTTCTTTTGAAGGCTATTTTTTTAAAAATTAATTTTAATGAAAGTTTACAGAAGGGTTTCCAGTCATTCACTATTGCACTTTTCTCCCTACCTGCCCACGGCTCCCACCCCCCCTACCCCTCCCAACCGCCCCAAGGCTATTGTTTTAATCACTGTTATCCATCTTGTTGAGAATACCCCTTCTTTTTCACTGACCCTCGGTTTTACCAAACTTGCTGTCCTCCTCCAGGTACTGGTTCCTCCTGATAACATGCTCAATGTACAATGCTCAGTGAAGATT